ATAATAATAATAATAATAATAATAATAATAATAATAATAGTAATAGTAATAGTAATCATGACAATGACATCAAATACATAAATATAAAGAAAGAAAACTAAATATATCAATCTTAATAAAAATATATATAACAACAAATAATAAAAATAAAGAAAATAATTTCAAATGAGGCTTGATTAAATTAAATCACTAATTACATGATTATTTTCAAATGGATAAATGGAGAAATTTAAAATTACTTTATAACTAAGAAAATGAAATGATAGGAAAATAAAATAATAAAATATAAGAACAACATAACCATGAATGTTAATAAAACAATAATATAAAATATAATTATATATATTTTATATTATATATATATATATAATATAAGAACACATTAATTTAACTAAAAGCTCATACCTTATTTTCAGAGTCAATTCGTGCTAATAACTTGTTATAAAATATAGTTAATATGAAGAGTAGAAAAAGACAAAGCAATACAAGAAATGGAAAGAAAATAATGGAGGAAAATTCTTATTCACTAGTGTACATATATTTTGGACATAATCTCTATTTATAGGCATCAACTATTCAAATTCTATCCTAATGTTATAAGGATATAATGAGACATATAATACTGCATTATGTAACCTTTGAAGATTATAAGCTATTAAGACTAAGAAACTCTTTTCATGCCATTCATGAAAACATTAAGAATAAAAGAATCCTAAAAATTTATAAGTTATAGACATCTATAATATAATATTTATAATACAAATATATATATATATATATGTATGTATGTATGTATGTATGTATGTATGTATGTATGTACGTATGTATATATGTATGTAAATGAATAGAATCATAAGTTTATGTTTGGTGACATCACGGGTCCTTTAATGATATCATGTATTCTTTATGATTTTATAATTTATTGTTTGTTTTAAAAATAAACAAAATCACCTTCTCTCTCTCTCCCCCCTCTCTCTCCATTATCCCAACTTAATTTTAAATTTATAATAATTACAAAAATAATAATCAACTTCAATTTTGTAATATATATATATATATATATAAATGTAGAATAGCTAGCAATATAGTAATGTCACATGCCTTTCATGTTCAAACTTTCTAATTTAACTTATTCAAAATTTCAAATTTTTAATTTAAAAATTATAAAACTACTCCACCCTCAATCATGACTCTCCATTAAGATATTGCAATTCTAGCATTCATTTATTTTTAAAAATATTTTATTCAAATAACAACTATAAATCTTTAAGAGTATTTAGTCGAGAAATTTTGAAAGAAAGGAGGATGATTTGGTTAAGAAATTTTAAAGGGAAGGAGAGCCAAAATTTTTCCTCCCCTCTCCTTGTATTACTTCCCTTCAATTTGAGATTTTCTTTTGGAGAGGAGCTAAAATTTTAGACCATTTTGCCCTTATTTAATCACTTCTCCATGCCTTAACCCACTCTTAAACACATCCTTAATCGAAGTTCTCCAAACCTCCAGGTTCTCAATAAAGACTCTACACCACTTGGAACCCATCAAGCTTGTAGCATACTTTTTTTTTTTTTGGAGATACAAAGGCAAGCAGAAGCTTAAAAGGTAGAAATAGAAACTAAGTGCTAAACATTAATAACTAATGATTAAAAAGTCATATGGTTGGATTGGTTTGACCATCCATTGATTTGATTTTTAGCTCAATTAGCATGTAAAAATTGTTTTGGGAGTTTAGCTAAATTGAGTCATTTCGGACTAACAGTCAGACCAGAAACCAGATTGGTTTTCAAAAATCAGACTGTTCAAAAAAGTATCTTTCATTGTTATTCAAAATCACTAATTATTAATTTTCTTACTTCACTTATTAATTTATTAATATGAGTTGCAAATTATACGAATTGATATGTCAATAATTATATAAGGCTTAATATCAATTGTTCAATCATAAACAGCAACATCAATTGTTAAATTGCTAACTTTACTTATTAATTTACTAACATTAGTTATAAATTATTGACAAATCTTATAATTTACTAATATCAATTATAAATTATTAACAGGACTTATAATTTATAACTAATGTTAGCAAATTAATAACTCATGTTACTACTTGTTTGACAAATGAATGTAATTTACAAACGATATTAATAAATTAACATATGAAGTAAAAAAAATTCATAACTAGTGATTCTGCATAGCAAATGAAGAGTATTTTGATCTTTTTCACAGTTGAAAATTTCACCTTTATTCTCCTAGACTCAACTAAAATTTTAGAATTTTTTTAAACCCACTAGTAATTAAGTCATATCCTTAATTTATATTTGAAATTCTCTCTCTCTCTCTATCTCTCTCTTTCCCTAGTCTGCTATTCAACAATAATTTAGGTTATTTTTTTTTTTGAAAAAAATTACATGAGTATAAATAGGCCGACTTGTCTAAGATTGATAATCCTAAAATTATACAAGTGTTGCGTCTGACTCGTGATTTAAATGGGGTTGAACGAGCCCACTTGGCTAGACTCTAGTTCAAAAGTGTTGTTTAATATATACAATAAAATTAATGCATATAATAATTACTGAAAGGTATTACTTAATTAGATATATTATAGCAAATCTTTGGCAAAAAAAAAAGATATATTATAGCAAATAATATGATTGAAATTATTATCTGCACACACAGATCACTTGGGTACACAATTACAAAAAGGAGAGTTTATTAAAGTTTACTGTGAATCTCAAGTTAATCAATAAGAGATAATTTACAATAAGTAAATACTATAATTTGTTATTAAAATTTCAATAATTTAAGGTATGTAATTGTCATTAATGTTTTTACAGAATCCCTAATTGTCATTTTCCCTTATAAAAATTATGTTTAATTACATAATTAAATTCTTTTAAGGTAAATGACATTTTTACTTCTCAACTGTTTATTTAGGAATGTTTGGCATCTTAAACTTATATATGGTGTAATTTTTTCTTTTAATTTGAAAATGGATTATTAGGCACGCTATAATTTAAAAAGTTAATTTTGATACTTAATTAACAAAAAAAATACAAAAGGGACATAAAAAATTACACAAAAGGATAATTTAAATTGCAAATGAATATCCCATGAAAAAATTAATATCAATTAAGTCCATAAAATAATAATTGGTCAAAATCATATTTTGACCTTTAATATAAGTAAGAAATAATATTTATATCATGTTATATAAAATTGACATATAATAGAAATATTTAAATATATTTTTATAAAATCATAACTAGATTATGCCCCAATGTGATACACAGGATGGGTCAATTTTATTGATGTTTCTTTTTTTTAAAAAATGTTACCGTTGTTTTTACTGTAGAACAAACAGTAGTAAAGATTATATTTCACAAAAGAAAAGATTTTATCTTCTAAATATTTCTATTATATGTCAAAATCAATTATAAAATCCTAACCAAGATTTTCTTAAAAATATTCAAATAAACAGCTTGGAGCAAAATGGAGTTCCCAGAGGAAAATTGATTTTTTCAAGATACAATTCCAGCATTTTTGTAGTCCATATATGATGCCAATGGCTTGATTAATAGCGAGAGGATGATAGCCTGTATTTGCATTGAAATCAATTAACCAATCAACATTGCTATTTCTAGCAATCCACATCCAATTCAACTTCACCTACAATATGTCCTCCAATCTTATTTATAAAACAAATGGAGAATATTTTTTTTATTCTATTTATAAACCATTTTATCAAATTTTTATTGTAAATTTTTTTCATTTGATCTTTATTAAATGTTGAAGAGAAAAAATATATTATTAAAATATTTATATTTAATAAGAGAAAAGTTGATAAATTATTAAATTTTTAAATAAAATTATTAAATTTTAATTTTTTAAATTATGTTAAAATATATTAAAAGTGTTTTATAAATAAGATTAAAAGAGCAAGTAACATTCCACCTCTGGAGTTGATTTTCACCTTGTGCTCCTTCGTCGAAAAAGCTTGCCTCTGCAACGTGAGCGCCAAATTTACCAGCATGAATGGCCAAAAAGAGGCTTCATCCTAACCTTAGGTTTAAGCCAAAGCAGTTTTGGATGGCCTTATAAGTTGATCTCTGTTTGACTTTTGTGTATTTGCCCGAATTACGCTCATCCCTAAAATATTAATTTATTATCCATATATATATATATATATATATATTTAACATGTAACTATAAAAAAAATTAAAATATTTTTTTAATTCTTTAACATTACATAAAATTTTAAGTTAGTCTTTTAATTTTATAAAATATATTTTCTGTCTCTATAACATTGTCAGCTTTAAATTATTATTTTTTGTGTTAATTATTATTAATTAAAAAAATTAAATTTAATATATTAACATTTGAGAATTATTTTATCAATATTTAAAAAGTTAACGTAAATTTTATTCTTTGTAATAAAATAAATTGTGTTAGAATTAAAGGATTAAAAATATATTTTATAAAATTAAAGAACTAAAATAAAATTTTATATAAAGTTAATAGATTAAAAGTATACTTTAATTTAAAAAAATGAGTTACACAAATATATAAATATATATATTAATTGTCTACCCACATTAAAGAGATCAAATCACATGTGAAATAATTAATCATGCAATATTATCAATTATCAATTTATTAAAACAGTTAAGAATTTTAAATTTTGTCATTTATCAATTTATTTTATTTTTTAAAATTTATAAATAGAGTACTAATTTAAAGAAGCAAAGCTTAAAAAGAACCATGCAGGAAAAAAAATCTTTAAAAGAACTAAAAAAAAAATTCAAAAAAAGCTGAAAAGGAACTAATTTTTTCTCGTTTGGACCGTAATTAATTAATTACGGTTATGGCAACTTTTGCTCGGCGATAAACGAGGAGGTTAACAACTGATGGCCGGAAACTGGAGAGATTAAAGCCGCGAAAGTTTTATTTAAGATAAGAACAATACAACTACTCGTTCCCCAAAATGAAATTATGAAATATGAAATTTAAAAAACTACAAATCATCGTGCTTGTGTTATTTTCATGCAAATTAATCAAACCCAAGTTCTAATTCAAACGATTTCCATATTTTTCTTACAATTTTAACCTGAATAATCGAATCCCTGTCTCCATTCCCTTTGACGATGTTCTCTGTTTCCGTGTATGGGTGCTCTGAGAAATTTGCTCTTCGATTCGGACGTAGATGAAGGGACATTTGTGGGTACGTATTTGTTCTGAATCCTAATCTTGCTTCTCCATCCGCATTTACTGATTCTATTGTTATTTGTGTCTGAAATTTCTCTCTTCCCTTTCCCCCCATTCGGGGATCTCTGTTTTGCTTCTGAATCAGAGTTTTCATGGCGACAAAATGTTTCACTGCTCATTTCCTGCAACGAAGGGTTCTTGTTCTTTTCTTGCATTTTGGAATTTGTATTGCTGGACGTTTCATTTGTGGAAACTGTTCTAGTCGACGTTGGAGCTAGCAATTCCGTTTTCAAGTCTCTAGTGTTTAATTTGTATCTTGTCTGAACTGTTGTTTGTATTACACTTATAGCGAAATAATTATAATGATTTCATTGCTCTGTTTTTTCTTATTCTTAGTCAATGTTCTGCGTTCCATGGACTATTCGATCAAATATTGGAATGTCTTAATTGATTTGCTTGTTTTTTTTTTTTTTTGGAATTTCTCATATTTATTGCCATCTGAGGATCATTCTTCCACAAAGACATTCATATGATTTATTCTAGCTTCATTTACTTTTTCCATTTGTACGTGATTAACTGATTTATATATAGATAGACCACCCTTATATTATTATTATTAATTAACTTTTCTTACCGTCCTTATGGATTACGTCCGAAATGGGACTGCGGATGAGCATACTGCCTGATAGAAGTTACCTTGCATTGTTCTTTGTGTTCATTGCATTAGGTGAGTTTGTGAGGTGAACACCGTGCCCTAAAAACGATATATGTTTTTTCTTTGCTTGTCCGGTAAATTTCTGTTAGTCATCGTCTTCAACATTTTATTCTGCTTACTTTAACGGGCGTTACCAAACTATGAAATACTGCTATTATTTATAAAATAATATGCAATGATATCTTTTCGCCCCCTTGGCTAACTTATATATTTCTGCGTTATGATCCCAGTTAAAGTAGTTGAGATCATTTAGCACCAAGAAGTGAATGATGGATGCTGCCGAGGTTGAAGAAAATCTGTTTGCAGCAAGTGATGCCAAGGTATGATGATACATTCTACTTTTTTTTTTTTTTTGTTCTGGTTTTTAGAGGCATTGCTTCGCAAGCTGTTGCTAGTTTCTTTCCTGTACATGTCTGATAATGTAGTCTAACCAATGCGAATTTGGTTTCTCATGCAGTTACATGGAGAAATGTGCAAGGCTCTCTCTATAATGTATTGCAAAGTATCGTCGATGTTTCCATCTTTAGAAGCAGCTAAGCCTAGGAGCAAATCTGGCATTGAGGCTTTATGTTCATTGCATGTAGCCTTAGAGAAGGCCAAGAATGTTCTTCAGCACTGCTCAGAGTGTAGTAAACTTTACTTGGTATGGGTCTTCATTCCTTTATTTCTTTCCTTATGTCTCAAGTATAAAAACTGGATTTAAATCTTACTCCACAGGATTGCTTTTCAATTATTGGTTGATGAAGTCACTTTTTCTGAAATGCATTATTTTATTTATGCAGGCTATAACTGCGGATACTGTTCTTCTAAAATCTCAGAAGGCTAAATCTGCTATTAAAGACAGCCTTAAGCAGGTGGAAGATATTGTTCCGCGATCTATTGCATGTCAGTGTCAGGTACTTGAACAATATGGCTTTATAGTTTGCTTTTCTTATTTGAGTTGCATGCACATGTTGGAGTATTGCGTATGTGGGTGAAGCATGTTTTGACATTTTAACTGTTATTATAGTTTTCAACCTTAATAGGGGCAAGTGGAGGTTACTGATAAACCAAGGTTACTGCCTTTTTGTGCGTGAGAGAGTGGGGGCCTATTCTTAACGTTTAATGTCATCCTTTCAAACTAATGGAATCCCATCTAAGTTTTAACTATTTGGCAATATTTTGTAAAAACTGAGGTAGATCATCCTTTCTTATTAATAATTCAGTTGTGTTTTCTCAATACTGACGTTTGTATGTGGACCAATACTCTCTCCTCCTCATTTCCCTCCTGTCCCCTCCTACCCTCACATGGTGTCGGTGGGACCCACTGTTTTTTTCAAAATAAAAAAGGGGGTCCCACCCCCACCATCACCATGCCCATGTGGGGGCAAGAGGGGACATGATGGAAATGACCAGGAGAGAATCTCCTCCCGTTGTATGCATATATGCACATGAATGTTGCCTTTTTCTGTTATTGTAATTGGAAAGGTATTTGAACCCTCTTTATAATTTTTTTTTTTTTAAATTCAGGAGATTGTGAATGAATTTGATAGTATAGAATTTGCACTTGACCCATTGGAGAAGCAAGTTGGCGGTGATTTAATTGCACTGCTTCAGCAAGGGAGACAATGTAGCGGCTCTAATAATGATGGTAGTGAGCTTGAATGTTTTCACCAGTGTGCTATTAAACTTGGAATCACATCTTCAAGAGAAGCTCTTACAGAAAGAAGAGCTCTCAAGAAACTCATAGAAAGAGCTAGGGCTGAAGAAGACGAGCAAAAGGAAACAATTGTTGCATATCTTTTACACCTTATGAGGAAATATTCGAAGTTATTTAAAAGTGAAATTTCAGATGATAATGATTCACAGGGTTCTGCTCCTTGTTCTCCCACTACACAAGGACCTGTTGAGTGCAGCGTTCCTAGCTGTCAATCTCAGGCCCTCAAGAGAGAGATTTCAAAACGTTGTGCCATTAGTTTAAATCCAATTAATAGGAAATCAGGACAGATTCCTCTTCCGCCTCGAGAGTTGAGGTGTCCAATATCTTTGCAGCTTATGTATGATCCTGTCATCATTGTTTCCGGACAAACATATGAAAGGGTTTGCATTGAGAAATGGTTCAGAGATGGACACAACACTTGCCCCAAGACTCAACAGAAACTCGAGCAACTTTTGTTGATTCCAAATTACTGCGTTAAGGGTCTTGTCATTACCTGGTGTGAACAGAATGGAGTTTCTGTTCCCGATGGCCCTCCTGAATCTTTTGATATTAACTACTCGAGATTGGCTTCGTCAGAGCCAGAATCAACCAATTCAAAATCTGTAAACTCTTTGAACTCATGCAAGTTGAAGGGTGTCAAAGTGGTTCCTTTAGAAGAGAGCAGTATCTCAGAAGAATCCAGAGTAGATAAAATGGAAGGTTTGTCTGCACAGGAGAAAGACACTGAGCAATATCTTGGGTTTCTGAAAGTTTTGGTCGAAGAGACCAATTACATGACAAAGTGCAATGTTGTTGAACAATTAAGGATATTATTGAGGGATAATGAGGAAGCCAGGAATTATATGGGAGCTCATGGGTTGGTTGAGGCGCTTCTGCGGTTTCTAAAGTCAGCTGTGTCTGAAGGGAATCAGAAAGCACAGGAAAGTGGAGCAATGGCTCTGTTCAACCTTGCTGTGAATAACAACAGGTGCGTACTATCTGATCTAGTCTTGGCAGTCTCTTAAAAGGGAAAATTACAAATAGGTCCTGCATAGCAGACTTATATACTAATAACCCTCGTGAAATTCAAAAACTGTATCCAAGTCTTTTGAGACTTGAATGTAATTTGTGATTATATTAAGTTTTAAACAAGAAATTTGTTGTGTGAATTATGAATTTTTACTTGTAAATTATATAGCTGTAGTTGGAAGGAAAAACTAAATTAATAAGGGCAATATTATCTTTGCACCATAACTTCAAATTACACTCAGGTCTGAAAGGATTTAGCTGCAATTTCTGAATTTTGTGAGATTTAGTTGTAAATAAATTCCCATCATGAGATCTATTCATAATTTCCCTTCTTAAAATTGAGAGAGGCTGCTTGAAATTTATTACAAGATCAGACCAGTCAGGCATTCTGTAGTGGATATCATATCTTGTCTTATTGTGAACTGTAGCACTCACAACATTCCTAACTGCTCATCACAGGAGACATGACAGTTGTTTCTGTAAATTCTTCTGTACTGATAAGGAAATAAATTTCATGTTCTCTAGCTGTTTAATCATCGTAGCACTTGTAAAAGAAAAACGCTCTCACAAGGAAAAAATGGGAAGACATGCATATGATTTTAGAACATCATATATACTTTTTTACAACCATATAGTTCCTTCGGTAATTAGGCTTGTGCTCCTTATTACCATATTCTATCAAGAAAATACTTAAGTTGGATATTATTTTTCAGTTCCAGGATGTGACTGAAGTTTCCAAAGATATGACTATTATGATATTTGTGTAAGCCATGTTTGTGCTGTAAACTTAAAAAATGGTTCTTTTCTAAATTCTTCTGGAGCATCATTCACATAGATATTTATTTATTTTATTTTGAACAGAAACAAGGCAATTATGTTATCAGCAGGAGTATTACCATTGCTGGAGGAAATTTCTAGCTCAAGTTCATATGGTTATGCCACGGCCCTCTATCTGAATCTCTCATGCCTTGAAGAAGCCAAGACCAAGATTGGCAAGACACATGCTGTCCAATTCCTAATCCATCTCCTCCAAACCAACACCGAGGTTCAATGCAAGCAAGATTCCCTCCATGCTCTCTACAATCTCTCCACTGTCCCTTCAAATATTCCAAACCTCATTTCATCTGGAATCATCAGTGGCCTCTCATCTCTTCTCTCAGGCCAGAGTGATAATAATGATAATACTAATAATAGCACGTGGACAGAGAAATGCATTCATGTTCTGATAAACTTGGCTGCTTCTCATATGGGAAAAGAGCAAATAGTCTCAGCCCCTGGACTCATTAACATACTGGCTAAGAAACTAGAATCTAGTGAGCTCTTAGAGCAGGAACAAGCTGTGTCTTGTCTTTTAGTACTGTGTAATGGGTATGAGAAATGTAGCCGCATGGTCCTAAGAGAAGGTATAATACCTGCATTGGTTTTGATGTCTGTGAATGGAACACCAAGAGGGAAAGAAAAGGCTCAGAAACTTTTGATGCTCTTTCGAGAGCAACGACAACGAGATCCTTCGCCTGTTAAGACGCGTTTGTGTCCCCCTCCTGTTGCTGCTCCTGAAGCTAAGAAGAGTAATAATGTGGCTGTTCATGTTCATCCTCCTCCAGAAACCAAACCTGTGATGATCAAGTCCTTGTCTAGAAGAATAATTGAGAAGCCCTTTAGATTTTTCTCCAAAAGCAAGAGTTATTCTATTTTCCAGATTTAAGCTTCAATGGTTGAAAATTAATTGAATAATCTCTGTATCTATTCTATATACTTGGCTTGCTTCCGTCTTTCCCTCTTTCCAGTCCACATTAATTGGTGCTACTATCATTTTCTGTGGGAAGCCACGAGATGTACAGGGCAGCGTAGTTATGGTTTTTTAGTTTCTTCTCTCACTCTTCCCGTTGTCATCAATTTATTTTTGGAAGAATTTTTTTTGATGTAATATTTTTTTTGGGGAAGAATTTCATCTAAGAATTACACAGTTACATATTTTCAAATTAGGCCAAGATAATTTAAAATAGAGCTGGTAACTTAAGTCAAATTTAACAAATTAGCTCAAAAAAATTAGGAACCTATAGAGCATTTTACAGTTTTTTTAAATATACAATATAAATTAAATATTGATTTATCCTTTAAATCTTAGCTTGTTTTATACTTAAAAAATCATATTATAGATATTTTTTTAGAAAAATTAATATTGTTATATTTTTATTTTTTTAATATATAAAATATCTTAAAATAATATTGAAAATGTATTTTAATATTAATTTTTAAACTTTAAGACTCACAATATTTTTAAAAAATATTGAGTCGTCTACATTGTTTATGTATTCCAATATATATTTTTTTATTTTTTATAATAATTAAAATAATTAATTTAAATGTAAATTGAAATTTAAAAAAATGAAAAAAATTACAAATTGAATATTTGAGCCGGTCCGAATAAACTCAAATTCGGACCAAAGTCTAAGAGTTATACGGGTTTTTTTATATATTTAGGTATTTTAAATGCGACTCATCTAAATTATTGATTCTATTCTAAAATTTCACTATAAGATGTTGGGTTTAAATTGAAATAGAATTTCACCCAAAAAAAAAATAGAATTTTATAATGAAATGACCAAAATATCATATTATTTTCCCTGCATGTTGCAATGTAAAGAGTAACACGAGGAAATTACGGAGGAATAATTTTAGCAAAATTCATTCCACAAAGTCATGAAATGGATACAGAATACAAACATCAGGAAATGGAAACCAAGCAAGAGCTATACATGAAAGCCCTCGTAAACAACACAAGAGGACAAACTCAACACTTGCACATCCACACATTATAGCAGAAAATGCATGGAGCATTATTCAAGCAAAACATAATTATTTCTTTGTTTATTGGCAAGTCGATTAATGGTAAGGTTTCACATAGATGCCAATTGCATCAATATAATAGCCACCTCTTACATGGAATCCAGTCACCACACATCCTTCTGCTGGTATGGATGAGAAAGAAGTGCCACTAACAGTTCCAAAAGGTCCATGTCTGGTAATATTTGCAGTGAAAGATAGTGATGTGATCGTCATGTTGCCCTTGTAATGTTCGCAAGTCGCAGATATGGATGTCAGAAACTCATCAGAAGGCCCATTAATCTCAATCTATTCGTTACCACCAATTTCATAATATTGAATGTAAGTAGTTAGCTCACACAAAAATGAAAAAGAATTTGCTTGGCCATAAATAAAATAATATAAATGCCAGATTTACTATTCTTTCCACACCAGCGTCATTTGGATCATCACCATCAAACTTTCCAAACTTGGAGCATCGCCATCTTTTCATGAGCAACAATCCTTGTATCCAATTCACCACCGTTTTTCATGGATTTTGAGAATAAGATTTGCCATTATTATCCACTCGTCTTGACTGTACTTTTTTCTGTCTCAAGCATATGCGTAACTTTTTGCTATGATGTGAGTGAGTGGTATAATTCAAATTTTACAGTCTCAACAACATGATATGTAAGAAATCAATCAGCTTTTAATTAGTGTTTGTCGTGTATCGTGAGTTGTATGCATTTGGATGAAGGAAGAACAGTTGTGGAAGATATTATTAGGTATGAGTTTAGTGACTTTCAATATATTTTATTGGAATCTAAAACTTATATCTAAAAATTAATAATAACATGCAGTAGAGTATAAAAAGAAAAACTTATGATAAAAAGTCAATAATATATCTTATAAATATGATAAAAAAATCTTCTTTTACATCTTATGTCTAGTTAGTAAAGATTTAATTTTTAACCCACAAAATTGTTAGTTCAAATCTTTCTTGTATGCTTGGCAAGCAATCAATTAGTATTTTTATAAATTTGGAGACAGACTTTAACCTTAATATTCCGTCCCAAACCCAACACATTAATTGTTGGTGGCACCGGCAGAAATGCGAACGGTAAGGTACGAATTGCTTGAGTCGTGCTCGGGAGGACACTGTCAAAAAATGAGTTAAAATGAGTTTCTCCAGCAAGGCAAAAATAATTATTTATTTTGTAAAAAAAAATTCAATAAAAAAAACCCATTATCTCTTGAACTCGCACGCAAGGGGGCAAATCAGCTGATTTCAATTGCGATTGTCCTGAGTTAGCTTGTCTCATGTGCACGAGACCACTTCTCCTCCAAGCTTATTTTACTAGCCCACTTCATTCCTTAGTATATATACACTAGGAGATTCCTTCCTGTAGTCAATGTGGGACTTTAACACACACATACTTTTGACACACATACAACATAATTGGCCATCTTAATTACCATTTTCCAATTTTTCCTTTATTGTTAATTTAATTTAATAGCTTATAATATATACTGTATATCCCCCTCTTTCTATTTTTAATAGGGAGTAAAGTTGAATTTTTTTTCTTTTCATTTCAATACAAATTAAATGAGTTAAGTATTATTCCTTAATTCTACTGAAGTTGCTGAAACGTCTTATAATAGAGATCAGAAGGAGTAATATTTATTTATTTTCATATCACTTTTCTTAATGACTGATTATATAAGTAAGTAATAAATTTTAAATGAAAATATATAATTAACATGCTTAATGGAAAAAAATGACTAATTATATAGAATATAAGTAAACATTGCCTAGTGTTACACATAGCTATCAAGTCACATCCCAACATATGTAAGCCGGAAGCATAATGCAACTAATAGATCATCAAAATTTAGAATGCTTTATATTTCCAATGACGCAATCATTAAAAAACTTCACTGCTTTAGAATAAGAAGATCTAATGCATGGTTTAATTATAGTTGAATAAATCACTTACTGGTTGCACACAAAATACCAAGTGCATCAAGATAATAACCACATCTCCCATGGAACCTGGCAATGTCACTGTCTTCTATCGAAACAGAGAAATACTGATCGGCATCGGCTGGTGTACTTCCAAAAGGTCCATAATTGTTGAGATTTGTAGTAAATGAGAGGGACATGATTGCTATTACATTCTTGTAAGATTTATAAGTTCCTCTTACGGATTTCAATTACTCTGAAGGCCAACTAAATTCAATATCTGCAAATGGACAAGGTCGTTAAGTAAAATGACAATAATAATGATAATTATTAATGGGATAACAGAGCAAATTGAGTCTCCAAACTATAAGTTTAAGAGCATTTAAGATCTTAAATTTATTTTTCATACAATGTTTTCCTTTAATTTTTAAAAGTGATGCAATATGACACTACTATTAATTAAAGTTAATTTTGATCATTAATTAATTAAAAAATAATAGAAAAGGGCATGAAAAATTACAGAAAATAATCAAAAATTACAATAAGAGACCCAAAAATTGTAGATAAGGATTAAATAATTATATAAGAGGACCAAGAAAATTTTATTGGTCCTTTTTTGTAATTTTTAATGTCCTTTTCTATCATTTTCTAATTAACAAATAGTTAAAGTTAATTTTTGTCAATGGTAGGGATTAAATTGCATCATTTAGAGGAAAACGTTATAGAAAAAATTAAAGGGAAACATTATAGAAAAAATTTAAAATTTCAGACATTTTTAAACTTATAATTTAGAGGTCAATTTTTTTTAGCCTTTTTAATAAGTAGTGATGTTTCAATACATATTATGAACCAAAGTGACCTTTTTATCTTCACCAAATTCATTTGGGTTCTTGCCGCCAATTGTTTCGGAAACATCACCTTTAGAGTCTTTGAATGAAATGGACTTAATATTATGGGAAAATCATAATAGAACACTTGGAAAGAACATTTATTGCAAACAAGTATCAAATTACAATTCTGAAATTGCTTTGCAGGATCAGAAGATTTAAATGTAATAAAAATTTATCATGAAAAGATAAAATTGTCCCTCACACACACACACACACACACACACACACAACTCTTTTAACAACTTCTCATTTCATTTTCATTTTAACAACAATCTATTCACTCATTAACAACTCCAAAATATTAATTTGGTAATAGTGATAAAGTATTGTAATATGATGAATAAGTCCCCATTCAAGAAAAAAAAAGTTTTATTTCTATTTTGACAACAATCAATTATCCATTACAACAAAATATATATATATATATATACACGTGGGTGTTTTGTCTTTTCATAATAAATTTTAATTACATTTATGTTCCCTAATCTTGCGGGACAATTTTAAAATTATTTGGTTTTTGTTGGCAATAAATGTTCTTTTCACTACAAAAAATATAACTTTTAGCGACAACTTTTAATGGCGACTAAAAAAGTCGCTACTAAAAGTGGACTTTTAGCGACGACAAATCAAAGTCGCTGCCAAAAGTAGATTTTTTGGTGGCAGCAAATCAAAGTTACTGCCAAAAGTTTTGGCGGCGACTTTGATTTGTCGCCGCCAAAAATATTTTTATAAAAAATAAATTAAAAATTAAAAATAATTAATATAATTTACTTTTGACATTTGTCGCCACTAAAAATATTTTTATAAAAAATAATTTAAAAATTAAAAAATAATTAATATAATTTATTTTGGCGGCTATTTTTATAAAAAATAATTTAAAAATTAAAAAATAATTACATAAAATTATTCAAAATATATTTATGAAATTAAATTTCTTATTTTATGTATAGAATTAGAAATAAATTATATCTAAGAACATGAAATAAAAAAATAATAGTTAAAGTGTGCTAAGTTTAATTATTAAATTTTTTCAATTTGATATTATTCATAATCATTTTTTAGACATATATAGCTCATATTTTTTTAAGAATTATGTTATTAAGCTAGTATTTTAATATGATATATTAAAATCTTAATGGGTTATTACTTCAATTATAATTAGGTTAAGTTATACATAAATTATTACTTACAATCAAATACATAAATGGTATTAGAAAGTTAGGCCTCGTTTGGTATGATGGAAAAGTTTTTAATGGAATCGGAATCAGAATCGGAATTCGAATCGAAATCAGAATCGAAATAGAATTGAGTTTTAAAAGTGCGTTTGGTATGAAGATGGAATTCTAATATAATATTAATTTATATATGTACTTAAAATAGAAAAAGACTAAATTGCCCTTTTTTTAAATTAAAAAGACCTATCTTGTTATAAATGGATAAAAAAGATGAGGATAGTGGGGTCCACAAATTGAATTCAAGAGAATTAAAGCAATTGCATGGTCAATATGATGGAATTGGATTCTAGCATTTTTGATGGAATTATGATTCTTAGGAATTGTAACTCTTGCATACCAATCATGCTTAAATTAGTATTCCATCTTTGATTCTATTTCTACTTTGCCAATTCAATGCTACCAAACATGGCCTTAAAGTTGTATAAACATTGTGAGATACTAATGATATTATAGACTACTTAGCATATTACACACTTTATGCTTAACTTAATATACATATGGTATTTACTTCTTCTACTGAGCTCTAATGACTTTTGGACAAGGATTTCATGTAATTCCTCCTAGTATATTTAGGTTTTCATTGCTATAATAATATTTTATAACTAATTATTACTAAGAATAATATGAATAACTACTCAAATCCACCTTTCTATAAGATTGAAGATGATTAGATATTAACTAGATTGATCATATATGATATTCTTGTAACTATCATATATTTCAAAAGTTATTAGTATTCATTTTTAAAATTATTCAAAATGACTATTAACAAAATTTACATGGTTAAAATTAGTTTTTTATTAAAATAATTTTTTAAGATATTGAAAAATTATCTATAAAATATATTTTTATTAAAAGAGGGGGAAATATTTAGCTATTTTGAGAGAAGATAAAAATTTAATCATTTAGTTTATCAATTTTTGAGAAAAATATGGAGAAAAAAAAAGTAAAAGATATTTAACATAAAATAATATAATACATATTTATAAATAAATTTTATTAATTTTCATTTAAAAAATAAAAATATAATTTAAAAATTTATTACAATGTATATAAGAATATTATTTTAATATTTTAAAATTGTTTATTTTAAGTTCATTTTCCTAAAAAAATAATATTTACTAGTAAAAAATAATATTTTATTAAAATTATAATTTAAATATTCATATAAATCATTTTGTCATATTAATAATTGAAAATAAAATAAAATATATGTATATCTTTTTAATCATATATTATTTGATATATGTGTATGCAGTTACATAATATATATTTAATTTCGCATATAATAACTGTAGGCATATTTCAGTTCAATTGACAAAGAAGAGAGGTTTAAGGCTTGAAGGAGGGAGAGGTCAAGAGTTCAAACCTTAGCTTTGTCATATTTTACAACAAATATGTCATGCGGCGCGTGGTGGTGATGTGGCATGTGAAGTGCTTTGAGAAGGCACACACGTGACAGGTGATGTGACACGAGATAGTAGCGTGGCACATGAGGTAGCTTGAGAGGGCACACACGTGATAGGTGATGTGGCCACGAGATGGTGGCATGGCACATGAGGTGGCTTGAGGAAGTATGTCATGTGACGCATGGTGGTTATGTGGCATGTGAGTTGCTTTGAGAAGGCACACACGTGACAGGTGATGTGGCACAAGATAGTGACGTGGCACATGAGGTAGCTTGAGGGGGCACACACGTGACAGGTGATGTGGCCACGAGATGGTGGCGTGGCACATGAGGTGGCTTGAGGAAGTGCACATGTGTCATGTGACATGGCATGAGATGGCTAAGTGATGTGGCATTATCTGTTGAACACGTGGACTGTGACGTGACACAAGATGGCAAGTGACGTGGCATAATCTGTTGCATATATGGTAGGTGATGTGGTATCACTTAATGCACACGTGGCAGAGTAATGTAGTATAAAATAAATTATTATTTCTTAAAAAAAGTTTTGGCAGCGACATTTGTTGTCGCTAAAAGTATACTTTTGGCGGCGATAATATTTGTCGCCACAAAAAATTATTAGCGACGGTTGTTATAGTGATGATTTTTAGTGGCGGAAAGTCGCCGCTAAAACTTTTTAGCGGTGACTTTTGAATTTTTGGCGGCGACTTTTTGTTATCACCAAAAATCAATTTTTTTATAGTGTTTCATGTTCTATGTTGTGATTTTCCCTAATATTATCTCCAACGTTGATAGATATTCTAGCTATCACACGTCATGAAACTCCAAACCGTCACCACCTGAACCTCCCCATAGTCTAAATGATCGAAATGATTCCCTTCCTTCGCAGATGCTTGAGTAAGCCAAAACCAATAGTCACCGAAACATTTGAATCTATCAGCATGTAATTATCAGAGAAGAGAAAAAAAAGATAAAACTTGACAGATTTATAGTGTCATACCATTTGATTGGATGAATATTTTGAGAATTGATATGCACGCAGCTCTAAATCTGGTTGGTGTGTTGGTGTATGTCTCTTCTTTATGGGCTCTTAGACAGATTGGGAAGCCATGCACAATAAGGATGTCCTTATTAATCCATTGAAAACGAGTGAATTAGTTAATTATTGGAAAGTCAAAATGAAGCTCTAGCGTGTCGCCTTGATAAAGCACTGTATGGTTTCAAACAAACCCCACATGTTTAGCTTGAGCGACCGTCCTTAATTAGTTTTACATCATTTGGGGTTTGTTCACAGTGGTGGATTCAGAATCCAAGGTCAGGGAGGCAGTGGTGAAGCCAGATCCTCAACATACAAGAAACTTTTCTATCTTTTTTAAATTCATTACTATTTCTCTTTTCTTTTTTTCTTTTATTTATTTTTTAATTTAACATTGCAAGCGCAACAAGTCAGCAAAAAGCATTAAATCAATGAGTTTATTCTAGAATATTAAAACTTCATTCTTCATTATCTTTTTTTTTACTAGCCTCTATCTAGTATTTGGAATGAGGATGATATGGTTTTAGTTTAGTCAAATTAGGTTTCCCCCTATTTTTAAAGATTAATTAATAAATAATATTGATATGTAAGTATAGTGAAATTACGGGCTAGTATTCACCATACTTTTGAG